CTTAAGTGACTGCTCATGGCGAGTAGTCAGGAGCAGCTGTAAATATGTAGCCCTTCCAATCCTTTTGCACCCTTTCTGCAAGCACACTAACTGGGCTAGTGGCACATGAACCTGCCAGTATCCTCAGGCACATCGGTCCCATGTGCTTCAGAAACCATTTTCCACTAGAGCTTCCTGTCTCAATACCAACCCTAATAATAAATTGATAATTATGACAATCTGCAAACAGCCCCCCAGAAAAGAAGCAGCGTAGTGACATTCCAGAACAGTAAGCCAGTGGAGTTAGTTATTTTGGGTATGCTGGGATAGCTCACAACAGAATTTTGCATACTATTATTCATTCGCAAAACAATTAAATTTAACAATCAGAAGGAACCACATCTCCCATGCAAAAAAATCCCCAAAAACCCTATCAATATAATCACCACAATTTTTCAGACTCTCAATCTGTGTTTCCTTTTTGTGTCCTGCAAGTTTGATTTGTGCTCCCTTTGCCTCTGATTAAAGGAAAAGTAACCAGCAATCTGATTCTGCCCGCATTTAAGTTTTTTTAAAATTAAATCTAATATCCTCCACTGAAATTAAAGATATTACATACCAGTATAACACAGATTAAATGAGCAGAATCATTATACTCATATCATGTATGAGTATAATCTATTCATACTTTAAGAAAATAACATGAATATGTCACAATATCAAACAAACCCTTATGCAGCAATCATTTGTGACAAAATGAACATTTGAAAATACAGGTATGTTGCTAACACCTGAATGCATTATTTTAAAGAATTATACAACTTCATATGAGAAAGATGATTATTACAGGATGTGCATTACAGGATTGTGTTGTTCTCTGTTTTCTGCCTTCTTAGGAAGGTTCAGCAACATACCCTAGTTGAAGGCATCCCTGCCCATGGCAGGGGGGCTGGAACTAGATGATTTTTAAGCTCCCTTTCAACCCAAACCATTCTATGACACCAGTCTTGTATATGGTTTATTCTTTTCCCTCAGCCCTCACCTTTGCAGCCTCCCTATTCAAGGGTATTGAAGTAACATGTATGTTTCTGAAAAAGATGTAAAAGAAACAAAAGACAAAAATTCCCACAGAATTATCTTTGGAGATGGAAGTAGATATCACGTGCTTAAAGAGATGTTATATGATTTCATATATCAGAAGGTTGCCTTTGTGATGGTAATGTCAATGTTCATTATGTTACAAATCTTGTATAAATAACACAGAAAAAAAAAAGTAATGGTAATTTTTTTTTTTTAATAAGAGAAAATTTGTACACTTAGATTATATTTCTGCAAACATTTGTATTCAAATAGTCATCCTATGATGCATTTCAACATCAAATAACTGTTTTATCTTCAAATTAAAAATATGAAAATATAATATAAACATATAAAAACATTTGGCAACGAAGTCTGTGCAATACAAAGGATGCCTGAACACTGTGTTTTGGGATTACAGGCTCACTTGTAAAATCTTGTGTGTGCCTTTGCAACACTTAATATTTTCTGAAGAGAAAATGGAACACAAAACAATATTTCAGAATGCACAGCAGGTTCTCTTCTTACTTTCATTTAGAGTCACAACATCTAAGTCATATAATAAACAGGATTTCTGTAAAACAAACATAAGGAAACAATTAAGATAACTAGAATACAACAGTTGAAAAGCTTGCTTTTTCACGTATTTTAATGTAAAATATTTTGTGAAGTCACTAGATATATTTGTATTTCAATATTTAATTAAAAGATTGCAGTTTTCTAATAAATTAGATGGAAACTGATGCCTATGCAACTCCTGGTTTGGCATCTTTACATTCTTCAGCTGCCTCAAACATCTCTCCTAATTCTGAACAATGATTGAAAGTGTCTTTTGAGGAGATACTACAAACCATGCGATCCTAAAAATCTTTATTCACATGAACTGTTTATAAATACAGGTTCTCCTGTTGACTACACCAATTTTCACTAGTTTCAGTTAAGTGCATTAACCCTTGAAGCATTGAGCATGGGATGCAAAAGCCCAGTTGAAAGGAACAGGAAAATACAGAGTATCAGTACCCATTTCAAAAAGGCACAGGCTACTAACTGTTAAAGAGGACTTCAACTTGTTTTGTGAAATTCACTAAAATTCTCTGTTTTCTTACCTCTATTTAATAAACACGAATACCTTCAAATGGAAACAGTTCTGTTCTTATCATGATAAACTATCAAAATAGCACTCCACCCTTGTAAAACATTTATGTACTGATTGCAAAAGCAGATTATAACAAAAATTAAAATCATCAAAACCAGGGCTCTTCCTTTCAGCAATGAACTCGACTAGATAATTAGTGTTGACCAGAGAAACAATCAAATCCAGTTGTGCAATACAGTACAAATACATGTCGCAATCCTGCACTCTGAAACTGTGAACACTGAACCCTGAACAAGGGCACAAAGACACAGAGAATACTGTCACATGCCCAGCAAACAAAAAGTCCTAACTTTTCTACTTGCCATTCTCCTGCCTGTGTCTTGGCAGGTTTACCAAGTATGTAATGATACACAGAGAAGTAAGTGCAACCACGGGATTCACCGCATTCATCTCAACCCAAACCCAACAGCCACAAAGAACCATTTCTGACAATAAAGAGAAGTTTCCAGAGACAACAGCTATCTAAGATGGAATTCATGAAATTCAAAGCACAAGAAAAAAAAAAAGGAAAAGGGGAAAAAAGTCATCATAAACAATGCTAATCATGATTCAGAATTGAAAACTTACATATACAATGTCACAGGGTAGTTGAACATTGACTACATCCAGAAAGGTTCATCTAAAATTACTCACGTGAGTCAGAATGAGAGCAAAATAGAAAACTGCCCGATGCTACATACAAAGAAGCCTGATGCCTGTTTGGCTGAGCACATTTATCACTGCCTAAAATTCTGGAGTGGACGCATGAAATTTGTTTCCTTTTTCCTTCTGCAGCCACAGTTTCAGCTCTTCCTGTGCCAGGGCTGTCCCCACAGAGCGAGCGACTGAACTTGTTCCTCCCTGGGGCTGCACAGACCTAGGAAGACTTCCACAGTGCAAGGTGCTGGGAGAGAAGATGAACCTGGGAAGGGATCAGAAGTGATGGACAGCGGCAGGAACAGAGGGCAGAAAACGTATTGTAGTGTCTAAACCTCAGGACGGATGCTGAAGCTGTTATCAGTAAAATTATTAGCAAATATTGTTCTGACTGTAGGGTACTGGAAGACTGTGACTTACTCATTTTAGGAATTTCTTGTCATTAGTCACATAATGAAGAAACACAGCATCTGCACTTTTACTTGGTTTTTTGTTTGGGTTTTTAAAAATTATTTTTATTTTTTGAGTGATAAGGACCAAGAGACATAACATTTTTATTACCCTTGAGAATTCACACAAATGCCAACACACAGATTTATAACTTCTGATAAGTTTTAACTTTTTACACAGTTGCGTAAGGTACTCGAGTACAGGCATTAGCTATTAACATTTGTGCTAGGCAGAGGCAGTATTTGATAGTCTGCAAGCATAGATAGCAAATATAAAGTATGAAGACCTTTCTGAAGAAGCGAGCGAGGCAGAATCCAAAGTACACAAACATAACCTTGCCATCTCAAGGAACAAGATACCACTCTGGTTTAGAGATAAGATTCTGAAGCGATAGCTTTGGAAGAAAATGGTACAGTAAGAAGTTTAAATTCACTCTTTGGAGACCAAGAAATAACACTGAGCATTGATTATTGTGGACATAAATTAAAAAGATTTTGTTTCACCCATGCTTTTTCCTGAGAAAACAAAATCAGCTTAATTAGTAAAGGAGTTCCAGAAAAAACCCCTTTGAACAGTTTCAGAATTCAGATTTCACTTAACTTTAGAGGAAATAGGTAATTCGAAGATGTTGCAGGCTATACTTCAGGATCAAACTTCATGCTTTCAGTCACAGGGGAGAAACTTTCATATTCCTTAAACACTGAAGATGTTGATTTGCAAATATTTTACTACTTAATAGTGGTTCTGGGTGGCAAGTAAGCTGTTCATGTATCCTTAGCAAGGATCCTCAGTATTGTAAGTAATTAAGAATGGTGAAGCATAATGATAATGCAATGGTTCTTATACTCTGTAAGATCATTATCTGATAGTTTATCAACAGTCTAGCCAGGACAGAAAGACAAGAACCACCACTCCACAAACAAAGAAAAGCCATTTTGAAATCCGTTTTAAAATTTTAAATTGTAAAAGTTGAGGATTCTTAATCACTTCAGTTTGGTAAGACCGGTAAGACTGTTCCATACAGGATCTTTGTGAAGCAAATGAGGTCCTGGGATTCATTTAAGCAAATGTGCTTTACAGATTTTAACAGTGCACATTCATAATCTAAAGAGATATGAGGAGTCCTGCATAAAGCGCTGAAGCAACGATCAGATTTGGGCAATCCCATGCGGTGCTCAACTTCAGCCAAGCCTTGGAAGAGGTGGGGCACCCCCTGTCCTGAAATTACAGCAGGGAGTTATGCAAATCTCTCCCACCTCTGGGAACAAGGCAGGCAGCATTCCTCCTCCAGGGCTCCATGAACACTAACACTTCCAGCTCACATTTCAGCTCAGCCTGTTGTAACTCACTGCCTGACAAGTCAGCCAACAAACAGCAAAAGAGCTGTGGAGAGATGAGAAGAACCAAAATGGTACCAAAAAGCTTGAGTTTCCACTTTGGCATCTTGAGCAAAGTTGGGTTTTGAAAATACTTCCACAGACAGAGATGCCACTCTACCCTGCAGTGATTTTAGCAAGATGTTGAAACTTCCTGCTATCAAATACTAGTTTTTCCTGTTAAATAGAACACCAGACATGTCTCACCTAACAAAGAGGCATCTGTTCAACCTGTTTTATGCTTCCTGCTGTCTTCCCTCCCGGCTGTCTCTCCTCTCCAGCTCTAAGCAGAGTTTGTATCATTGGTGTACAATAGATACCTAGACACAGGAATTGTGATGAGATGGCTTAGATTCCAATTTTTTTTTTTAATCAGAGAAAGAAAGCTAAGGTGGTATACAAAGGGAAATGTAACGAAAAGACAAACTCTTTGAAAGGCTTCTAATGAGGTAAATCTGTAAATCTTCATTAAGATTTCCTTGCTGCAAAAACTGCTCAGATCAACTGTGCCATACAAAGTCAGATGATTCACCTACTCAAGCACCAGTTCTTGGTCCCTTGATACTGGTTTAGTTATTTCAGAGAAGAGGCTCACTGTGGGTTCAGAAGAATGACAGAATTTTACTCTATCCATATCAAGCCCCCAGTCAAAGTCAGACTTGGAGTGCTTGCTTGAAACTAGTAGTTTTGGAGAAACAAGAAGGGACTGTAACTGAGGTTCCTATTATTTATAACTTCTTTACATTCTGAGGATTTTTATTCTAATGACAAAATGATCCTCCTTAATCACTGAAATAATTTTGTTTATATTTAACAATGATAGTTGACAAAGACTGACAAAGCATGGCAGAGAACTTGATGCAACCAAGTCCATGTTATTTTTGTTCCTGAACTGCCAGTAGAGGAAGCTCAGTTATGAACAGTCATGACACTTTCTGTGCATTTTCCCTATATTCTGTAATTCAAATTACTTGTTCAAAATGAAAGACAGTCTTCTCACAACAGCAATGGGCAGGGCATGGCACAAGCAGTGTTAAACATGAGCTAGGGATATATTAACAGGGAAGGTAATCTCTGTGGGAGAGGAGAATCTAACTGCTGCTGAATATGTTCCTCAAGAAATGTTGATGAAGGCCTTGCTCCCAAAACCTGCTATTCCACCATGTCTAAAACACCTAACCCACTGGCAAAGTGTGGGGCTCTATCTCCCTCTTCTGTTAATACCAGGTAGAATGTAATGATGTTGTACTGCAATTAGTTCACAAACTTGAGAAGACAACTGTGGTCCTCCTGTAAGGTTCCTCAACCCTACAAATCATTGAGGTAAGGTTTAGTATAGTTGCACCTCAACAGCCCCATTTAAGAGAGTAATACATCTTCAAAACCAAGATCCCACAGAAGCAGTAACTGCCAGAAGTGAGTCAAGTCTGTAACATTCTTTTGGTCTCCTGGAGTTTAATTTATTTAATTTGAATTATATGAAACCATATAGCCTGAGATATGGAACCCCCTATAATCAAGGGAAAGAGAAACGCACCTCCAGAACAAAATTTTATCCTAAAAAGACTCATCTCTTTCTATTGTATAGAGATGATTCCAGACAACCAGACCAGTCATGCAGATTTTAGCTGGCTAAGGTTGCACATCAAGATGAATCTCATCCCCTATACTCAGACATTGTGATTAAGTTTTGATTTACATAACCTAATTATATACTACTGTTTCCAGAAGAATATCCGGCTCATTCAACGTCCAGAACAGTGGGGCTTTTTTTATTTTAAATTAAATAAGATAGTGTAGTTAAATTATGCCTTACACTGCACCAACACTAAGAGAGTTGGTACCATTTATCCTCTTTGCTTTAATCTCTGTACCTTGGTTCCCATGTGTGCAATGCTGAATATACTACCTAATGTTACTAAGAAGGTTACGGAGATAAAAATCTAAAATAGATCTAAAGTACAGCATTAAAAGCATTATGAAAACCCTCTCGAAGGAATTAATATTCTGTGGTCAGTACAAGATAAATAAAGGGCAAACAAAGCCTGGGGCTCCATGCATGACTGAGGATAATAAAGAAACACTGAGTATGCACTGCTGGAGACAGGGATCTTTTAGACAAACTAACAATTCCATGAACCTCAGCAATAATGAAATCCGATTTCCTATGGATTTGGATCTTGATGTGAATTAAATTTGATATCTATGATGCAAGTTCCAGCTGGAATGGCTGGTCGAAGCATTTTTCAGTCTCTCTATAGAGTGGTCTCTGTCCAACACTGTATGAAGTAATGCTGGAGACTTTCCTTTTGTAGAGTACTCTTGCATCTTACCTTATTTTCAGGGAACTCCTCAGGAGCTTAATTATCTCTTAGTTTGATCAGTCAGGTTTGCTTAAAATCAGCTAACAAGTTACAAAGGTACTTAAGGAGTGCAGGCATGGGACACACAGTGTAATCTCAAAAATCTGTTGCCACAGGAAAGGAAGGTAAAGAAATGAAGGAAGGGCAGAATTGAGGCCTGCTATTTCAGAATCTTCATCTCAAATGACATCCAGCTGTTAAACATTAAATGTTGCTCTCAACAGCACAGGGCAAGGTCTTAAATGGATTTTCACTGTTCTCTACTCAGCAGATACATATTTATTCAATATGATTAAAATAATCTTAGTAGTCAGTTTGGGAGGTAGGCAGAACTTAAGTTTTGGTTAAGTTTTATTGCAGTTTTCAGAAAAAGGTGTAAACATAATTCCTTTTTTCTTTTTTTTTTAATACAGTTCCCTCCTTCTGCTCCTATTTTAGAAAATACCAACAACCACACACACAAAGATATAAATACACAGGTTCGTAATATTTTTTTTAAAGCTAGTTGAGAAAAGTACTGCTTGTCAGCCATGACACCAAACAACACAAAAATGCAAATGTTAACTGCATTCTGGGTGGTATTTGTTTGGTTTTGGTTGGTTTTTGAGGACTAACTCGCAAGTAAAAGTAGTTCACTGGCAACCAGAAGCATTGTCAAAGAACAGCTGTCATCTATTACTGAACAGGTTTAGGCATATCTGAGACTTATAAGAATTGCAAATAAATAAAATATTGTTGTAATTTGTCAACATGTCTAAGCAATATTCTGGAATAATCTGTCATTAACATCTATTTCCACTGCAGCCTTTCAAATAGAATCAAATCAGCTATTATTGCCCTTCTCCAAAAATTCATCAGTCAGAGGAAGTTAAAATTAAAGTATTGCATTCAGTTAATATTAACTGATTGGTTTGAAAATTGTGACTTCTCGGAAATATGGTATGACTCCTTAGATGCTACCAATGGAAACTGTCAAATAATATCTGATGGTTTTAGTGAGAGTACCCATGTAAATTAGAGCTGTAGGACTGAGCCCAAGCATAGAATGGCTGAGATGGTGTCTGAAACATCAAGCAGTACTTTAGTTATCTGAATTGATGGGATATAGAAGTCTTCTCTGTCCCTTAAACTCACTACAAGAAAAACACAAATGAAGAGATAGGAAAATGCAGCACAAAATAGTGACAATACAAACTTGCCTTTTGTTTTGTTTAAATGTATGACACGTTTCAGTATGTTCCCCCTGCCCCCGATCCTTCACTGAACAACAAGTTGTCCTAAATTTCAAAAGAATTAAGAAACTTAGTACTTCTGTATGAGCTCTATAACTCTGGACACCAATCTTCACCATCTACAGAGTGTTTTCTGTACATTTAGTTAATAAAGAAATGCCTGTAGTAAATGGTAGGTGAGAGTGTATATAAAAAATCCTAGATTTCCTCAGATTAATACAAACTACTGCAATGTCTCTGAAAAGGTCTGCTGCCTGTCAGCCTGCCTTTGCCTATTTATCTTACCTCTGAATGACCTTCACATACTTCCCAAAAGCATGGCCATAATAGACTTTTCTAGGGAGTTCCTTAAAATGAGTTTCCTCTGTGGGACTGCTAAAGCAATGACATGCTTCCACTGAAGCATCTCATCAGTCTAGGGAGGTGGTCCTATTGCAGAACCATGGGAGGCTTGATATCCTCAGACATAGGTGTCTTGGGCCAAAACAATATGCAAAGCTGTTATCTCCTTTTTACAATCAGCAAGTATGTATTTCACCACTACAGAATGGATATATGACTAAAATGATCTCAGACTGGCATCTATCATGTCATTTTCCACAGCTACTAGTCACACTTCCTACTGCATTTTCCCTTCTCCAAAATTTCATCAGTTAGAGGAAGTTAAAATTCAAGTACTACATTCAGATTTCACAGTTTTGTGAACAGGCAAATTATTTTGTCGAACCTGAAAACCATGATGAAACTGTATGGTAGATTTTTTTTTTTTTTTTTTTTACTGCAAATTCTCTTATCAGGCCAGTGGAAAAACCAATTGGGCTAAAGGAGTCCTTGTTTAAATCAACAAATCCATTTCACTAAAAATGGCAAATTATACACCAAAGTAATGGTATGTGATGCCCCATCAGGATTCCAAACATTTCTAGCTAGGGTGAACTGTTACTACAGACAAACTCAACAAATTCTCATGGGCATATTTCCCAAACACACATACATGCAAGCAGAGCATACAACTGCTCAAAGCAGTTCTAATTAAAACCATGCAGCGGTATAACATTTTCAACGTGGTCTGAATTTGCCATGTCCACACTAAAAACCCCATGAATTTTCATGAAGATGAGTAGGAATACTGAAATTCCACTTACACTAAAGTAAGTGCAGGCAATCTTAATGTGAGAAATAACCAAGTACCATTTCTTCACACTGAGAGAATTCTTAGATCTTACCCAGATGCACCGTGCAGAAATGCTCACTTCACACATACCTATGTTTGTAGCAGTTATGATCATAGCTATTGTTTTGTATTTTCATGCTTCATACTAACACACTAATATATTCTCCGTTTACAGCAATGTCTTTTTAATTTACAACAAAATCAGAGTTACCTTATTTGAGATTTTTTTCCCAACTATTCAAGGACCTGCCATTATCATCCTGTTCTAAACAATATTTGACCGTCAAGTTGCTGTGCTTCATTTTCATGCTAGAGTAATCAAAAGATTTTTTTCCTTCTTTTGTATACCCTAAAATAACCAACTACAGCTTATGTTATATATTACAACAGGACCTTGACTTAGAAGCAGTCCAACCCAGAGCTGTTACTCTGACCATCCCCTATGGCTACTTAATCAAAACACTGCAACTTGTGACTTTGTCAGTAATTTTGCTCATTTATCTTTATTATGATTTCAACAGTATTCAGAATGGAAGGTTAGTTTTGTATAACTAATATTGGTGATGAATGGCAATGGTAATGCATTGCATGAAGAACATCTATTAATGTCTAAAATAATATTCTACTGTCTAAAAATAAATTACAATGCAAAACATTTTCAGAGCTAATGAACAATAATTCAGTCCTCCAAAAGTATTGCAACTCCAAGGAATAAGGACTTTTAAGCCAACACACTCGAGTCAGAGATGCTGACTCTGACAGCTACAATATTGATTCCACTACTAATTAACTCAAATCTTTAGGTCATGATAACTTCAAAAGCACTAGCGTAAATCAGTCAAACAAACAGCTATGAAGCTTGTATAAAACATTTGATTGCTAAACATAAAAGGTCCACTGATTACATCAGCATACAGCATCTTCACTGTGTGCACATTCTGCAGAAACTTGGAAGAAAAGGGAATCGTCCTGGCACAGAAGTGGAACCGCTCTAGAGCTTTTAACCACTCCCTTACAGAAAAGCACCGGAAAGAAAGTCACAAAAGCAGTTGTCCTGAATTTTCACTTTCTCTCTGAACTGTATTTTACTTGCTTCCCTCTATCGTTTTTCTCTTCTCCCACAATTCTTCTCCCCCATGTTCCTCCTCTGTATGCAGTGCAACTACAGAATCCCTCCAAAATATTAACTCCACAATACAAGAAAAAAAGCACCAGCTGTGCTTTGCTAAACCTGTTCTGTATTTACAACCTTGTTTACCCAATCTGTCAAGAAAAATCTCCCATTCTTTCTACTTAGAAGCCTACCTTTTCCAGTATTTCCTTAGTCAAGATTGAGAATGCATGCTCAATGTTCACATTATCTTTAGCACTGGTTTCAAAAAATGGTATTCCATATTCCCAAGCAATCTGAAAAACAAATGTAGGCAATGGGATGAACAGTCTTCAGGAAAAAACACTTCCTAATACTAGTATCAAGAGAAATGGAGGTGCTCTGACTGCTTCTAACATACCATATAAACACTGATTAAATACATGTTAGCTCAATAAAGTACACTATATTTATCCTCAGAATGTTTAAATTCTTAAAACATTCTTCTTAATTTTTTTTCCATTTTCAAAACATCTTTTTTAACCTATCTCTACTTGTAGATGACAACAATAAACTTCAGTGCGTCTGTTCTCAATGTTTTGATATATCTGGAAAACAAACTGTCTCCTAGGCAATTATTTAGAGGGAACTAATGGAGTGCCCACAGAAAGGTATAGATAAAAACGTGTCAAAAACTGTAGGAAAAGAGACATGATGAAATGTTAAAGAGACATTCCTTTATGCCAGACAGAGAGAAGCACAGAAATAACAGGCAAGCAAAGAAAAGATACATGTGTGAAAAATATATTATGGTAATAAGCACAGAGAAAATACTTAAAAGGGTAGTATAGACTTTATATTGGTTGATTCTATTTAATTTACTCGTGCTCTCTCATTTCCAGTGTATTTCCCTTACTGATAGCTTAGAGCTATGCTGGCATGAAGAAAAAAACCCAACACAACAAAAGTCATATTTTTTTTAGGGTCCTAAACTTTTCCTAATTTATACAGTTAAATAAATGCACAAAAAGAAAACACAGTTGCATCACTGCCTCCCAAGAGACGGGGCCAAAGTGGGAATAAATATGCCAAAAGTAGTGGAAGAGTCTATTTATTCCCATTGCAACGGATCCCTTCTTGCTATACATCTGGAGAAGATGATACCAGGCAAAGAAAATACCCTACTGCTTATAATGTATAGAAAATTCTGACATTACTGAACACTTAATGATTTATTTGGAACGGGTCTCCATTAGGATAAAAAGTCTAATGTTGGCAGTTATGTTTGCTTTTAATGAGCTCTAGAAATAACAAATCAGTGCTTTACAAAAATTCCAAAATCAGGCATGAAGATAGAGATAAAAGTATTAGACTTCATAAGTTTTAGTCAAAATATAATAAAGATTATATTAAAGGTAGGAAAAAAAGTGAGCAAATTGGTTTTCTTTCCTAAATGCTACAAGAAAATTTAATTCTGAAAATAAAGATGAAATCTAGACTGTTTCTTTAGACAAACTGCTTCATTTAGACAGACTCTTCATAAGGGATTCTGAAACTCTAGCTGACTGCTGTGAACTATTTTCAGTACTGCAGCAACTTGTTACAGAAAATTAAGATCATTTAGCTATTCGCAAGTGTCAATACAAAACAATGATGCATAATGGTTCACAACAAATTAAAAATTATTGGGCTACTAAAGTAAACTGTTTAGCAGTTTCTAAAATACATAGAAACTAATGAAATATCCCTTTTCCTTGTATCATGTAACAGATTTCCAGAGGGTTACCTATGTACAAACTCTGATGAACCCAAACCCCCCACCATTGTAGTCACGGAATCACAGAAATTATTTTGAAAGGTAACCCCACTTGAAATGGGGTCAGCCATGGCTTTGCCTACCCAAGTCTTGAAAATCCAGCCATGATGGACATTCTATAACCTTTATGGGACCCTCTTCCATAGCTACATCACCCTTCTGGTGCAACTGGTTCTCCTCATCTCCAGCCTGAACCTCCCAAGCCAGTCTTGTGTCTGCTGCCCCTTGCTTTGCTGTCTGTCTCTACTGGGAAGAGTCTATTTCTGTCATTTCTCTAGCTACACTTCAATTGCTGTAGACCACTACTTGCTCCTTAGCCTCCTCTTTACCCAGCTCTCCCAGTTCTCCTCATGGATCTCTGGTACTAGACCCCAATCACCTTTGTACCTGTATGCCGGACCATCTGCAGTTTCTCAACACCCTTCTTGAGATGGGAGAGCCAAAGTTGAACGCAATATTCCATGTAGCCTTGCCAGCACTAATTAAGGGGGTAATAATCTCCCCAGATCTACCATCCACTATCCTTCTGATGTCACCCAGTGTGTTTTTAAGCCATGAGGGAACACTGCTGACTTATATTCAAGCTGGCGTTCAGAGAAACGTGAGTCCTTTGCAGCAGTGAGTCATACCTGGGATTACTCCATCACAGGTGCAAATCTTTCCACTTCATGAATTTAATGATGTTTCTGTTGGCCCAGTTCTCAAGTTTATCAAGGTCCTACGGAATTGGTGTTCTCCCATTTGGTCTGCCAATCACACCCCTTAACCTCATGCTACATGCAAATGTCCCTCTGTCATCAGCAAGATCACTGATGAAGACATTGAACAATGTGACTGAAGCAAGGCTGACTCACTATAGCTCCCTGAAGCCCCTTCCTTGCCTTTTTTAAAAGATTCGTGTCATGCCAGCATCTTTCTAGTCAAAAGGGATCTCTTCCAAACACCATGATTTTTCAGAGTGGACTGACAGCTCTTTTGGTACAACTGGATGAACTTCATCATGTTTATGGATGCATCCAACTTTCCGAAGCAGTTTCTAATCCAAAGCTTTCCCATTGCTGGCTGACCTGCTCCTTCCCAAACCATGTCAGTACCTGCAAAGGCCTAAGACAAACAGACCACAAATAGACCTGCAAGCTCAACCTCTGAAGACCAATGCAAAAGAAAAATCAAATGAAATCAAATCAAAAACTTCAGCCTTCCCTGTATCATGTTACTTCATTGCCTACGACATCTATCAGTGCAGCTGCATTTTTCTCTATATGTGCACAGTATTGGTCAAAGAAGATTAATGGATGTATCATTTCAATTCACCCTGCATAGTGGTAAGTTCTGTGGCAAGCAAGTCTTCTAAAAATGTAACTAGATGGAAAAAACTCTACCAGTCCACTGTTAAAGCAATTGGAAATATGAACACAGATTTGGCTACTCTCTCTCATAAAGCAACTGGAAAGACATATTCAAAGAACTATTTTTTTTCTCCTTTGGGAGTATATTGAGTAGATCCATAAATAAAATATCTAAATACATGTACAAACCTATTGGAATTATACTACTGAGCAATTTTATTTTATTTTATAATATCCTTGAGAACAGTTTGGAGATCCTGTGTTAAATAAGCTCATATCTTACAGGAACAAAATAAGTAATGCTAATATCACTTCCAAGGTGAAATTTAATTCCAATTGTTCATTTAACTCAAAATATACTACTTCCCAACAAAGTGCTCCTATGATTTCTTAGTGTTGAATCAGAGAGATGTGGCTGAAATATTCCTAGAACCATGCAGAATATTTTTTTAAAAATTTGTATTGTACACATAAAATCAGCTTCAAAGCTATAAATCAACTTCAGCTATGAAAACAGCAAAAGCAAAAATAAATGATAGAAAATTTTACTTGGCTTTTTATGTTAGAAAGATTTGATAGAAAAAACCTGCCATATTCTATCAAGTCATATAACCTTCAACACATTTATTTTTCAGTGAAAAAGAAAATTATATTGTGGGGGTGTGAACAGAGAAGCCCAAGAAGCTTGAGTTAAAACTTTTGTCAAAGTGAATAAAAAGCAATTAATACAAGAAAATTATACGTCATAATGTTAAAATTAAATATATAAATTTCTGAGTGATTGAAATTACGTAACTACCAAAAGAATAACTACAAAATTCTCGGCATTAAATTAGTCTAGGAAGTGGTATACAATAGCCACTGAGTTATAACAGATTTTTACAAAAATGCCAACATAGATGATAAGATTTCCAGGGAATCTAGGGTCTTCTCTGCAAGAGACTGAACAGAGCAATACTTACAGTTTACACTTTCAGGGTAATATGAAATAACTACGTATGAATTATTATGTGTCAATCTTAGTATCAAACTGTTTTCCCCTCTTAATAAGGATATTTTCTTCTTTGGAGTGACAGGAAAATTACTAGCTCTCTCTCTGCTAATGGAATATTTCTCCAGCATGTTCAGTCAGATGCTTTAGCACTTGTAAATCATATTAAAAGAAGAAATAGTATAACTGAAGAGTTGCCTTGCCTAAAAACACAGGGGAAATCTAGAAAGTAGACTCAATGGGGAGGACGTAATGATTTGTTTCTGAAAAAAATACTACATTCAGAGAAATTTTGATTGCATGGTTAAGAAGTCAGAAAATGTCACGCTTAATACCATACGCAAAACCCTACTACTGCCCTCTTGTGCACATGCATCCAGTGGCTCTTTAGATTTCTCACAGTACATTCTTTGTGTGAGAGCACATATGTGTTTTTCAGCAACCTTATTCCTTGTAAACAGTTATGGTACATTAACACTGAAAGCACCTGCCATACAAACAATGAACTTTCAAGACTCTAATGCTGTCAAAGAGGTGATGTTATTTTTTTAAAGTTCCCTAATCTGGGACTATATAATTGGCAAGATATCATCAATGTGTTTTTCTTTGAACATCCTGCCTGACTCACCATGCCTGAAAGCTTAATAGGAGGGCTAATTCCGAGTTCCAGACAACAGATGCACACAGTTTGCAGTAGCAAAATTTACTTGTACATAGGCCATGTTCCCCTGCAATATTTAGTTATTATCAAAATTTCTTCTGTCATAGCATGGCTTCTGAATTTCCTCACTGGTTCTTAGTGAAAGTAATTTGCTCATTGCCTTTAAAACAGCACTCTCCACTTAATAATAGTTCTTCCCCTAACCATGCTCAGCAGGTACAAACTATACTGTAGTCCCAGCCGCACCACACATACACAGTTAGGTCTAGTGGAGCTGGATGTTCAGTACCTGTCCAGTCTTATTTAGGGCTATTCATAGAAAATGCAGATCACTTTGCATAGGCTGCCAAAATAGTTCTTTATAGTCAGACTGTAGCAAAAAGATTATTGATGGGTGGTACCAGAAAAATTACGCAGAATGTATTACATTTTAATATTCCACATTACAACAGTATTCTGAAAATGCAGACTCTATACAAGATTTCTATTTTAGCATCTAAAACTTTTAAAGTGCACTCTAAAAAATCCTTTAAAAGTGTATTCTAAAGAGATAAGATAGGAATTACTTAATGTATTTATACCCATATGTTAAAAAAGCCCCCAAATCTCCAGAACTCCACAAGTGTTCTTCTGGAGCAATCCCTACTTGAATTTTTGGGATTCAGGAGCTTTTTACCATTTTCACTTTAACAGCTCACAGTCACACACTAAGATACTCAGGAGACTCCAAAGAAAGTATCAATGATACCTTTTCTCCTTTCTGTTTTGGAACTACACGTTCTGACTCCTTATCACACTTGTTGCCCAACAGTATTACGTCCACTTCATCACCTGCTTTCTAAAAGAGAACCAGCATTAATAAATGTCAAGTAAGAAAAAAGCAAACAACATAAGTCCTTCACCTTCAGTTCACACGAACTCTCAGCACTTCACTTTCTTGAAAGTAAAGGCTAAATTCTGTCCTGACCTTCATATGTGGAAATATTTTCCATCAGTTACTGGGATTAGGAATGAAACAGCATGATTGCAAAGAGCAGAAAAAAGCTACTTAGAAGTGTTGTGTATAATTTCCAACCCCTTTCATAAGATATAAAGTATATGGTGCATGGGCACCATCTTCTGATGAGTGCTCCATCTTGAGGCTTTAAAGTGACTGGAAATGCCCTGAATTCACAGACACTTCCCTCTCTAAAGTAATAGATCCATGGATTAGCATATGACTCCGGTCTACATCCAGCACTCACAAGTTAAAAGGAAAGAATTTGCTGCACCTCAAAGAGCACCTCTCTGTACTTCACTTTTGCACACAGACAGTAAAATTACATTCAAAGTGTTCTAACTCAACATAAAAGTCTGATTATTCCAAGACACTAGGAAGAAGGCAATAGATTTTTAATGAAGCAAAATTTAAGAACCTCATTGATCCCAAAAGGAAGAAAAATCTACCTTTTTGACCTTGTCTCCATCCTTCATTCCTCTAATCCGCTCATGTGCATGATGACTGTGAAATGCACTGGGTTCTTTACATCACTGTTATTTTAAGATAAGCTATTGTAACTATGCATGACTGGAATAATGACAAGGAAAGGGAACAGTTCTGCAACAGCATGTGAATTTGAAAACTGACATTTGTCGTGGAAGTCATTATATTTAAAACCACTTTTGGTGCTTAAATGGAGGAAGCTGAGGGTCTCACTTTAGAGGCAATTGAAGTTAACGTGGTCTGACTGCCATGGCTTTTATTCCGGAGGCACATGCTCACACAGCTTCTTTGATGACTCAAAAAGCCTGGTCTCAGGCTGCACATCTCTCTCCACCAGGACACTGATGAAACCTCTGATCTCTGTCATCATCCATCATCCTAATTTTTATAACTTTGCCATAAGACAGAATCATTCATAATCATCTTGCTGAAAGCTCACTCACATATGCATGCATGTCCTTCCAGAGAAATGCAGAGAAAAACCTCTATTCAGTAAAGGATGAGAGAATCATTATTTTTAGTCTATTTGTACTTTTACAACTACGTTGCCTCATTTGAAGAGTACAGCAGCAGGCACAATTTACTATTAGGGAACGCTATTTCATTTTTTTAATCCATTTTCCTCTTAGAGTCAGCTAAACTTATTTCATACCCAGACCTGATGTTCAAGATAACATAGTATTAAAATGAAGTAAACTTAACACAAGAGTAGGAAGTACAGGCCTAAAATAGTGAATCAGTCTAACCTAGATTAACAGATCAAAATGTTGGCCATTTCAGAATGCACTGGAGATTCACTCATTATGGTCAATGGCTATTCTACATAAAATCACATAAATCAGTCCCAAAATAGGGTAAATAGACAATTTAATCTCATCACAAATCAACTTTTCATTTGAAAGAAGCATGAATGTTGATGAACGTTTTATGAGAGACATTTGACTTTACTCTGAAGTTAAAGTCAAAGGGTAATACTTGCATACTGCACATACAAAACCACTGAACTCATTCTGCAACTTTATTTCTGTATAAATAGCACAAATTTTTGCAGTAGGAATGTTTATTCTAAACAGCTTCAAACAATAACAAAATTTTAAAGAAGTCAGAGGTACCAGGCCTTTCAGTAATTATTTATCAGTATTACCAATCAGTATTTATTTCTGCAAATAACCAATAATTCTATATCAATATAATGCATTAATGTATATTCACTTTGTCTGGAGCCTCCACCAAAGCACTCAAAGTACTCCTTTTTTAAAGATAATGTCTTGCAGTTTCTTGCATTTAGAAAACTGAAGATTATACACTAAAATGATGTCGACTTTAGATTCTGAAAACTGACTATGTAGATGAAGACTTAAAAAATTAAGTCAGTGACTAGGCAGAAGTTTGACCATGTGCTCAGCTGGCATAAAAACTGCAAGGATACACTGATTTGAATTGGCCAAAAATATGGCTCTTCAGTGCTTCCAAAGCTCACTGTGTATTTTCATACTCTGTTATTTATAGCTCAGGAATAAGCTTTCCAAATGCAAAATCTAAAAGATGATGGCTATTTTACTGTTGTTAAAATGCTACTATGCAAGTCGGCACTGACTAAGCTCTAGACTCAGGAAACATTTTTCCCCTCATATTAGGGAGAAGTACTATTAAAAATTACATCCATTTCATAAAGGCAAAAAAAATTTTTTTTAAAGATTTATAAAAAAAGAGTTTTGTTTTGGTATCTCAAAAATGCCAGATTTTTTGTACACTTTGTCAATTTTCCCTTGTGTTTTAATATTTCAAAGTTCACATTTTATTGAAGCTTAAAATAAAAACAACCTGAACTTGGAGAAAACCTACACTATTTTATTTTGAAAAAGAAAACATCAGCACTATATTTCTCTCAAAAAAAACTGGAGTCAGGAGATTTATTGAGACTAACCAAGTTTTCTGAGGTGTTTGGGAGAGCTTGGAGTCACCAGGTTTTGGCAAAAGGGTTTTTCTTCCGCTGGGTTCCCAGGCAGCTGGATCTGGCGGCAGCAGGAGCCAGGCTGCTCCGAGCAGTGGCCACGGGAGGGAGCAGTGACAGAGCCTCAAACCCAGCTCTGCCACACACTGGACTCAGAACACTGGACATTTGCACCACAGCACCACAGCCTCTTTAGCGACCTGCTGGCAGGGGACACCCACTCATGCCCTTCACCCTTCTGCTTAACGTTCACCCAGCCTGGGCACCCAACCAGGCAAATACACGAATCACTGCCTGACTACATGCCTATTAACAGAAATCAAAAATGCAAAAGGGAAAAAATATCTTGCTCGTCCCCTCTGTATGTGATTTGTCTGGTGGGGTTTTTTTTCTTTTCAAATGTTAGGTCTTTTTTTTCTGCAGTTCTTATTTTCCAGAGTTTATGTGAGTATGAAAAGCAGCAGATACCTTTACTGTAAAAGAACGACACCACATCTATACTTACAGGTTATTGGAAGAAACGATACTTTCACCTCTTAAATGGTGAGCACAGACCCGACCATGAAGGGCTGGCCTCAACCACCCCTGCAGAAATCTGACTGTGATGCTTACAAGCTCCTCCAGACTCCTTGTTGTATGAACCAATCTATCCAGTGATACATCTTCCAGAAACACCACCCTGTCCCTCCACCACACTTCCAGGGTGTAGTTGTGAAGGGCTGCATGATTTTGACACTCACTAAAGACAGTTGGAAAAGGGAACAGAAGTTTGTCTGTAGGTCCAAACAGGGAAACCCACACATGATAAATACACTATGGGAATACTTAATTAGTTTGTATATGAGGCAGAAATGTAGTACTAATATAATTTTTCACAGCTGATGAAGATGTACATGGTCAAACAGCAAGATGAAGGCAGGGCTGGAGAAGGCCTTAAAGCTGGGAAGTTTCCTCTTCCTACTCACTAGATAATGACAGTAGAAACTTACCCTTTGTAATACTGAAGAGCAAGTTATCAGGAATAGATTGCCCTCACAGTCTCTTTGACAGTATCACGTGGGCAATGTTCATATTATGATTCCCATACATGTCTCTTTCTATACATTTTTCTAAGTGCCACTTTATGACCTCAGTTACAAATGACTGGTTTCCAGGACTTCAGTGGAAATAAATAAATGATAAAATTTGTTTGCCTACTAGCAAACTTAGACTGCAGTAAATATAAACCAATTAATCCCACATAAACTAATTTAGTAAAGTGACAAGAACAAGAATTTTAAGTTCTAATCAGAGCCATAACAACAAACTCATCTACAAATTGGAACAATTAAATTTTCTGACATCAAGCTTTCCCTCCTGAGGAAGAAAAACTCAGAAGAATTTGAAGTCAAACTAATTTACATTTGTACAGCAGTTTGCTGTGCTGCTTTTATTTAAGTGTGATGAAGAAATACTGAAAGACAGTCCAGTCTTCCAGATGCACTAGATGAACTGAACCAAAAAAAGGCACTATGCAAAAATGTCAGCAACACAACACACTCATACCGTTTGTATGCTGGCTGAGAGGTCATTTCTTCAGGTAGGACAAATAGAAAGCTGATGTATTTCATTAGTGATTTAGGTGGGCAAGGACTTCTGGAAGTCATTTGGTCTAATCCCCTGACTGAAGATGGGCCAACTTCAAAGTCAGGTCAGGTTTCTCAAGGCCCTGTTGAATGGTGTTTTAAGTGTGTCCTTTAAGAGTTGCTCTCTTGGGCACCAATGTTTGAGCATTTGACCACTCTATTGTGAGGAATTGTTTGCCAATGTTTGTCAGAATCTTGTTCAAAACATCCTAGAAAGAGCTGCTTTCTGCAAATGGATTTGGTACACAGATGCTTCTACTTAATTTTCAAAGGCCAAACAGAATCAACCTTTCAGAACAGGTGTATACAACAGCTAAAAGCCACGTCACAAGACAAGAGGAACACTTTAATAAATTGCACATACCCTGCAATCCTACAAACAAATAAAGGTTTCAGGTTCCAAGTAATTTTCCTGCAATTATCATGGTCCTAATGAGTGTATTACAAATCCAATATACCTGTATTGGATATGCCAATAATGCCCTAAGATATTAATCTATGGGTGAGTATATTTTTCTACTAAGATTTTTAGGTACAGTCATGTTACTTTGTTTCCTCTAGTTCTGAATACAAATTTTACAGCAATACAGATATGGCAGCATATTTCTGTCTTGAATTTCCTTGAACGATAATTCAGTTTCAATAGGAAATTTGCTGTATTCCACACTTAAAATAACTGAAATATAATAAGAACATTACTGGTAATCTGATTGTAATTGCACTGACTGGTCAGCTTTTATAAAATCAATGGACTTCTTCAGAATGCTAAATTGCTTAGACTGTTATTTTTGACTGTTGTAAAAACGGCTTAGTACATTGAACAGATTTTTAAAAACTTTAAAATTTCTATGTGTAAAGAATTAAAAAATGAGAGCATAATGTAATAACTGAGCTGTATCAAAAATTCCTGTTTGGTTCAGGTGCAAGTTTTACAGTATCTGTTAGTCTGGTATTTAATGAAGCCTGTATTCTATCTGTTTTCTGTTTTAAAACTTATTTTCTCTATGCTTGCATATTTCAAAGGGTGCTGCAGCAATAGCCACTTTGATTCTGGGCATTTGTGGGGCATGAAATACTGGTTGGCATTCACAGACCAAAGAAAATGCAGGGAATGTCACCGACCTTCAGGAAGCAATTAATTTTCATGAAATGCCCTGAATTTAAACAGTTATTGCTTAAAAACATTTCTTTTGCAATGAATGGGTCCATATATTTCCACCAAGACGCTTCAGAAATTGATATCCCACTAGGACTAAATTAAATTTTTTATTATTATCTAGCTCTGTTACAACACTAATTGCTAGTTTTGAGGTTGGTGTAATCAATCATGCAATTTACATTTCTGAAAACTGGTTTAGATTGAGTATTTTTCGATTTTTTAAACTTTAAACTAATGAGGTACCTTCAGGGGTTAAGATTAAACAGTCTAAATAGCTTGAGTACATTTACAGGGAAGCTTTGAAGTGTCACAAACAGAAAGCAGGCTTGTGCAGGTGTCACTTCCTGACTGACTTAAGCAGATCTAAGCCTGCACAGTGGCTGCAGGAGCTAGTCCCATCCTGCCCTCCACCCTGGCCATACAGTCCTGAAACTTTTTTGCTGTTTATGGTTGTGCACCATAGCACACCGAGTCAATCACCCTGTTGATCTAATTAAAGATGACAGGACAAAATGACGCCTTTGGAGCCAGTGTGAATAAAAACAGGTATTTTATAGAGAAATTCGTACACTCAGGTATATAGATATATGCATAGATAGATAGATATTACTGGAATATATATGGATAATCTGTATTTTCAGCTTCAAATTACAGTAAATATACTATCCCACTGTGTGCTGAGTTAAATCTTAACCATAAAAATACACAAGCATGGAATATCTAGGTTTGGCTTTTATTTGCCCAACAGAAGGGCATATGTGCTTTTCTTAACAAAATAATAAAACAGATGTGTTAATTTGAAGTGTGTGCAGACAAGCCAGTAAGAATATTGTGCCATCGAATCTCCTTCAGTAACACATTACTGCAGTTAGGCTCTGTTGGCATTTTAAAATGGTTCTAAGGTCAAGGATAATGATGTACTAGGTCACCATGGTAATGCTGTTAATAATGAGATAATGTAAATGTAATGTTTTACCAAGAGTATGAGATACCTTCTGTATGTATTATTGGATATATGACCATGTGTAGTTCATTAATTCAGCTGTATACTGAAGCTGTGAAGAGAGAAAATGATGCGTTTGATGGTTTTATTTCAAACCCACTTTCTCAAGATGAACTCTCCCATCCACCATGTCATACTCCCACCAAATTGTAAGAGCATTAAAAACACTGCCTGAATGTTTATTTGATTTTAATCAACAAAGAGCACTACCTTGTTTGGATTCTTACACAAGCATGCTAACTTACACAACTGTGCTAACTACAGACTGCCATGGTACTGCTTAGGGGCAATCTCATTGCTCTCTACAGCCCCCTGAAGTAAGAGGGAATGGTGCTGATCTCTTCTCCCTGGCATGGAGAAACAGGACACATAGGAATGGCTCAAAGTTGTGCCAAGGAGGTTCAGACTGGACATTAGGAAGCATTTTTTTACTGAGAGGGTGGTCAAACACTGGAGCAGGCATCCTAGGGAGAAGGTTGACTCCCCAAGCCAAGTTAAGAGGCATTTGGAATATGCTCTTAATAATGTGCTTTAACTTTTGGTCAGCCCTAAAGTGGTCAGGTAGCTGGATTAGATGGTCACTGAGGGTCCCTTACAGCTGAACTTTCTGATCTAAAACTGACCTGCCTTTACCTAACACAGAACAGAACAAGGGAGACCTAGCAATAAAAACTTGGAATACAGGCAGCTGAATGATCTTATGTCTAAAGGCTTGCCTGCTCCTCCCTCCCTGGTTCCTCCCTTCACATGGTTCCCACACATTCTTCTCTCTTCGCCTTCCTACTCTCCTACCTGTTTACCTTGCACCAACTCCAAGAAGTGTCAGACCATTCTATGAGCCTCTTAAACTCACTGATGGAGCAGAAAAAAGATCCAACTTTTTTTGCTCTCTTAGTTTTCTATTGCATTAGCAAGTCAGAGTGAACCACAGAGGGCTCTTGGCAAGTTCCAAAAGCAGCAAATGTTTTGGCTCCAAAAGGAGGCAATGTTTAGGAGCAGGGAGGTGGGTAGCTACACTACCCTGTCTGGTAGCCACGTGCTGTTGAATCACTTCCTATTTTACATGAAAGCACGTGTTTGTGGCTGCAGCGCCACAGGCAGCTGAGCTAAACAAGCAGCTTCCCACCCCAATTCCTCCCTCTTGAAATCATCCTCTCAAGGAATATCCAGCAAGGACAAAGAGGATGTTTAATTCCTTTGATCTTGGGATAAGGTAACTACACTACAGTAATGAAAATAGAAAAGGGAAATAACTGGCTGTGATATGGAATTTTCATACAGAAACCAATTAAAATCCTGGGATGAGTTCATGAAGATTGACTTCTGTGTAGTCACTCCAGTGACAAAAGCATCATAACGCAGCATGCACAAAGCTGGATTGGGCACAATGTTTTAGAAGTACTTTAGAAAACACTCCTGCATCACCATGGGCTTGTCCTGGATAATATACATTTTGTTCCAGTTTCAGATGACAGTAATACTACTAATGCTGAGTTAAAGGCAAGAAATTCTGGTTATAAACATATAGAAACAAGAACAGATCTCATTCAGTCATTTAAAACAACACATTAATTACTTTCATTAAGAGATCAACGACTGACAGATCTATTTACCTCATATATGTCTTGCATCCACATTGTTATACTCTGAAAACTCTTCAGATTTGTGATGTCATATACAAGAACAAAGCCTTGTGCACCACGGAAATAGCTAGTACTAAGTGTATGGAATCGCTCCTGGCCAGCAGTATCCCTGAAAGAAATTGCAACAAATCACACACACACACAAACAAACCAATAAAAGATGATCAAAATGCATAAATCCCAAGAAAAATCACTTTAAGGAATATTGTCCAAATTTTGAATTATATACTCTAATGTGAAAGGAACAATAAAAGATATGGAAGAGAGACACAGCATTACAAGAAATACACTGGAAATTTATTCTGAATAATACAACTCTGTTAAGGAAGCCAAACCAGTGACTGAAGTCTGAGTATAATGTCAAGTCCATTGCTGCTTCTTTATCTACATAATAATTATGATCAACTGTCCCAGTTTAAATGAGACAAGGGTCTTTTGCTGAGGATGGATTAGGAGGAAAAGACCCAAACTTCTCTTTCTAAGCAATTATAAATCCAAAATTAAGAGGTTTTGATTGAAGGAAAACAAATTATGGAAAAGGGAAAATAACAGCCCTTTATTAAAAGGTATGTGTGTATTAACAGGAACACGAAAAAAACCCAAGTAAAACAACCAAGCAATACTCCTATACCCACCAATAATCCCCTTCAAGAACAAACCGATAAACTGGCAAAAGGAAAATTAAATAGTTCAACTTCTTGCACCCTTTGGTGCAGTTCCAACCACAGTCAGCAGGGGGCGCCGTCGGGTCACTGGAGATGCAAAATTTGTAATGTCCTGTACCATTCACCAGGTGGCGCTGTTGGGTCACTGGAGGTGTAGAACTTGTAGTGCCCTATTGTAGTCACCAGGTGGCGCTGTTGGATCACTGGAGGAGTAGAACTTGTAATGTCCAGTGCCCGTCACCAGGCGGCGCTGTGAGATCCTTGGCTGCTGCCAGGTGGGTTGGAGGAAAGGGAAAAAAACAACACTCCCCAGGGTATATCGGAGAAAGAACAAAAAAACTCGATTCCCCTTCCCTTCCCACACTGGAAAAAAAGGAGGGGGGAAGCAGGGAAGGAAAAAACCAGCAATAAAACAGAAAGTTCTCCCAATGGAAGAAAACTCACGAACTTCAGCTGGTTAGGGTTAGTTCTAAGCAGGGCCTGCAGCCAGCAACAGCTGAGAAGAGAACAGCAGCAAACTGCCCTCCGACAGGAAGAAAGACGAAACCAGGCAGCTCTGCAGCTTGCAGCAGGTCGTCCCCTCACCGGCACACACCCCAGCCACACCTCCCCATCTCCTTCCAGCCACACACCAGCCCCCCACAACTCCTCCCCCTTCATTGTCAAGGAGACTAATCTCAGCCATTAGTGGTCTGAAACGATTCCTTTGTTCACCTGATGGCTCATATACAGAGCACACACACACGGCAGGGGGAAGGGAAAGAAAAATTCCTTGCTAAAATCAGAACTATGACATCAACACAACTCAGGTGATAAAAAGAAATCTGGAGTACAAGCATTGCAGGAGTCAGGTGACATCCCCATATTCTGACAAGCCCTATGTAAACTCTGACACAAACAGTAATCTGGTTTAGATGGAAGACAGGTTTCAGGAAAAAATCAACAAAATACAGGGATGCAGTGACTCCCACACAAAATTATGCCTTAAGAAAGCTGTAAACAAGCCTGCAATACTTTTGTATTAAAGCTTGAGATCTAATAATGGTCAGGTAATTCATGTACAGATTTATTCCTTGAGAAGTTAAATACCGATAAATATAAATAGCATTCAGTACTGGATGCCTGGAGAGACGGCTGTCTCTCTTTAGAAAAGCCTCCAAACCAAAAAATAGTGTATGTTCAGAGACTCCTCTTAGTGGTTTTCTCTTGGTAATGCTTTTGAACATGCATTTGATGGGCAGTGAAATGTAAAATTTTCTTGCTTTGTCACTTCCCTCGATATTCCTATACAATTAAATATGCTTAATATAGATCATATAGATCATGCACTGTTTGTATGCTGGCAAGTTTTATTGTTAAAGCAACCCAGGGACAACCCTATTTTAAACTTAAAGTAGTTGCTGCAAAAAATGTGCTCCCCTAGGCTAAATTCAAGTGTTAAAATGACCTAGCAGGAACGTTTGCATGTTAGGGAGACATACGATCAAAAGCAGATGAGATTTTTCAGGTCATAATGCAATTTAGTTGGCTCTCATTTGTGATACAAATTAAAACTTACCATATCTGAAGTTTCACTCTTGTATCATTAAACATTACTGGCTTTACTTTAAAATCAATGCCTAAAAGAAAAAAAAGGAAAATCTGTAACATTTCTCACACTAACATGGATTCCCTTTGAATGATGTTTCTTATCTCTAGCTATCATGCAATTTTGAACAGAAAGTGAAAAGGAACAATACCAAACAAAGAATAACTAGCCAACCATATACATTCAACATGGAAGTTGCAGAAGGAAATTATTCAGTGGTGAAAGCGGCTATGTGCCAATACATTGCACAGATACAATACAAAGCAATGCCAATACCAAGCAACGGAGGGGCAGGCCAAAGCAAAGGTGCAGATACTCTAAAACTACGAGTAGGTATTTCCATGGATAGGCACGTGACAGCAGTTTCATGGCCCGTGCACAATAACACATGGTGCAAATATCTTGGTGATTTTCAACTGCATGGCAACTCTGAATGGGAAGGCAGACCTGCTTACAAAGCCATTACACGTGCAACGCCACTTTTCTGTCCTTACTTCCAAATCCCTAAAAAAAGTATCCAGGGTTACATGAACAGGAATAGGAGCTGGCTGTACTAATTACACACAAAGACAAAACTTACACTGGATTTAATTCAATATGAAGAGGACTGTCTCTACAGCCTAAATCACCATGTATCACAGATCCAGAATTCTAAAAGCAAGCATTAACATTTGAAATCAGTGCAGTATGTTGTTTCTGTATAGACAACAGATTTTACTCAAAATTATTTTCCTTGTAATTTAAGTGTTTTCCTTCATTATATTATCAAATTAGTACTCCAAATGCAGTAGATTATACCTGAATTTATGGGCTGCTAAAGTTCTAGTTTCAATATTACAATCAGCCAGCTATCAGCTGCTGTCTTAGAGTAGCACCTTTCAATCATTGTTTCCCCTATTTCTTTATTGCTGAAGTTTGAAATAACATTTGGTAATTTCTCTGATAGCTTTTTTCTCCACTGAAAAACAATAAGGGTCTCTTTGTTTATTATAGTAAATGAAGTTAAGGTGACGTTGCAATGGCTGACCATACTGTGTAGTCAAAATTCCATAAGATATACTATAGCTCCTTAAAATTACATCAGAGTGGCTTTTCACCTGTAGTAATGTCATTTGAAAGACCTAGACAGTTTGAAAAATCACAGAAATGTTAAGTTAATACCACTGTACTGATTTTTGTAAGAACCTGACTGCCAAATTAATTTATCAATGGAAAGTATCCATGTCAGCAAACTAAAAAATGCAACAAAGGAAATGTTCTCCTCCTTTGTACTGATAGATGTATTGTGCACAAAATTTTGACAAGTACACTCTCACATGCATGATTCTGATGCCATTAACATTTTTTGTGTCTATGTGGTGCGGGAGTTGAGGTGGATTTAAAAAAATTATTATGATAAACATGTCCTTCACTTGATGAGTTTTCATTGAAGCTTCAATGGAAGGATGAAATAGTATAATTGGTATCTGTAATTAGTATTACACAAAGCTTCCTTGATGGAATTAATAATGTCAGGTGGAAATGTAATTTAAGTCAAATTTGCTCATGTAAGGTGAAATTCCAATGTGATGGAAAACATTTGCTCCTGAAATTCACATGGTTTTGTTTAATTATCTGTATCATTTTCTACAATTGATGTTGAGAAGGACAGGGTACACACTGGGAGGCTGAAACATCAGTTTCAAATGGTGAGTTGGGAATACAGCAAAAAATTGTAAACCAGACAGGGATTCCCAGACCTATATGAGAAAGTTCTTAGTTGACATACATTTTAATAATAAATTGCTATAAGCTTTTTTTAAATTTATTTATAGAAAGGGAAGCAGAATGCTGAATCAGACTAAAACTTAATCTAAATTAAAATAAGGCGTATTGACTTCTTAAGTCAACTTCAAAATTTATTGACCTAAAAGGTCAATGAATGTTAGTGAAAAACAGAAGTCAATATGTTCTGCATGCATGAATTGTTCATGCCTTTATATGAAATTTCCAGCAAACTTAGCAAATTGCAAAGACAGAAAAGAAAAATGAGAACCACAATGCCAAAGACAGCTCACGGATTTCAGATGCTTTTAGGCCTACGTGTTCTACAACATGATCAACATAACAAAGCGAGCATTGATTACGGCTCTGGAGATAAATGTTATTGGAATGCAACAGCTTGTACTTGGTTCTTTTAGGCTGTCAAATGAAACCAAGAAGGGGTATGCTGGGTGCAAGTTCAAATTCTAGTTGTTATTTTCAAGTTTTATAGCCATGAAATTAATTTCTTTTCTTTACATTCCAAAGAACAAATATTCACATATTAGGACTGATGCACCTTATAGCAATTAGGTCTAAAAAGCACAAAAATAGTCAGCTGTAATTCAGGGTAATTCAGCTGTGAAATGCCCCTCTGTTCCCTCAATATCTATAAAATAGGCTTTGGCTATCTGCAAAAGTCCTCTTCAAAGAGGTCTTTCGCAATTGGCCTAGAAATGACGATACACTTTTCACGCCAACAGAGCTGGTGAGTTCCTGACAGAAAATGATCAAAAAATATGTCTATCCAGAGAAAACACGAGTTTGAGCAGCTTAGCAGGATGCAACAGTGAGAACACAGGCAGAGGATGATGAATGCTCACTTACTGTCAATACACCATCTTCAACTCCAGAAACAGGGGAGCAGTTGCTATCAGCTCCTGTGCCCAAACTGGGCAAGCACCCAGTGAGATGTTGTGGGTTGAATTTTCACTGTGTTACTTCTACCCATACTTAACCCCTACTAGTTATTGGTGTACTACTTGTATCAGGCTCTTTTCCTGTACATGTCAAGAAGTATCTGAAGTGGTGTGGTATCTGAGCAGTCACAAGTAATGACAATTGCTGGTTTGCTAAGAAAAGCAACTCATAGGATAAGATGGTTCAACAGAATAGTAAGTGACAAAAAAATCCAGTCTTTTAAAAAAAAAAGGAATTAAGACGTGGAATGCCATTGGTGATGTAAACACAAACCTTCACTACGGTTCGTTTTTGCTGATTAGCTCTACTTTATTTCCTTCTAAAGTAAGTATCAAGGCATCTACACAGACTTTTTACTCCTAATACTGAAGCTGTACCACGTTAAACTATGACAGAACTGAGAGGACTCAGAGCTGTGCAGAAATACTTCTCAAAGAAAACACGTGTGCTGCAGGACCACAGCCACCACTAATACAGCAAAATAACCTCACAGTTCATGAGATCACAATTCTGTTCACTGGTATAGAAGGGGTTTTTTTTGTTCATAAAGTTTCTCTACGGTTTTATATGCAATGCCATTGTTTAAACAAAAACATTTATTCTTTATAGTCTATTCATAATACAATGCATCCGCCTTATGATGCGTACAAGTTTAATTAGAAAACTATAAGTGCTTATAATTTATCCGAACTGTGTAATTGAAGAGGAGGAAGGGCACCCAGCCTTGAGTGTTTAAGCGATGCATTAAAAGTCTTCAATGAAAATTTACTGTGAATGCATTTTTTGCTTTTTCTCATAAACTACATAATTTTAGAAAATATTACTACTACGGAAGCCTACTACAAAACCTGTGGTTGGTTTTTTCCCCTGCAGTAACACTAGAGTTTTTCCTAGTAACAGAAATCTGTGATTCCTGATGACACAGAAATGAGACTTCCAACAACCTTTTAACTTCTGTGCATGTGACCCTTTGCCACTAAGGAATGTGGGGGCACATGAATTTGTCAATGAACTCAGAATGCTGCAACACTGCACAGCTGAGATAATCTTTCCTCTACTCAAATCACTTTTCACCTGGACAGGTAAGGTGAGAAATCACTTAACAGCAGATGAGCATTTAATAGGCTGCACAACAGAAAGGGATAATTTGACAGAGTTTGTATCTGATAAAAACATCCAGATAAAAACAGTTACTTGTTTTGATAGTGTCAACAGTGAGAGAGAAGACATCAGGAACTGAGAAAACATTGTATTGTGTCTTCTTCCTTTACAACATTAGGAGCCACAACCTATAGGGCTTCTTCTCCATTGTAGCTGTCTACATAAAATAAGAAACTTTCACTTCCAATATTATTCTTTTGGAAGACATCACTCACAATCCCATTTGCTTTCAAAGTCTAAGCTCTAATACACCTGTCAAGATGGAATTAAATGGAACACAGTATTTCAGAAATAACTTAAAAAACATATTCAGGTAACAAAAACCACATCTGGATGATTCATTGACATAAACAGTTTTTAAATCTCTCAATAATAGGTGTCAGTAATAAAACTAACAAAGTTAATCTCAGTCCATAACTGTCACAAAAACTCATATTATCTTTGGTATTCCTTGAAACAGTTTAAGTCATAACTTGGAAACTATATTCTTAATATCATCACTGTATAAAAGGTTTTGAGTCTGCAGTAAACTGAGTTAGGACCAAAATCTCAAAATAATAACCTCATGGTGAGGAATCTCTGTCCCAGTATAAAACACATCAATAAAGCTGATGTTTATTTTCATGGCCATTCCTTGGGGGTTCTTTGCTAAACCTGGCAACAAGCTGCCTGTTATGAGGATCAATTTCCCAACTTCACTGTTAGTTGTGTTCTTCCCTCCTTTTTCATGATGGTTTCAAAAAATGTTTTGCAAGAACAGGCAGGAAAATAAAAAGTGGTTTAAAGTTCAGCTGTTCTCACGTGGGCAGGTCAAGTCATCTCATGGACATTAAGTATTTCCTGGACCAACTACTGACACAGCTACTGTCTGTTATCTAATTCAGATAAGCCAACTCCTCCCAGACTGAAAAATGTTTAAAAGAGCCATGAATATCCTAAATGCAGGAACACACAATTTCCTGGCATACTTTAGTCTTCTCTTCAAGAGCAAAGAAAATGAAAAAAAACAAAACAACAACAACTCATACACACAAACTTTTAGAAATTCAAAATTTCCCAGGCAAAAACTGGGAAAATCTCCACAGCAAATCAAACCACTGCATACACATAACATGTTTGCCTGCTGATGACACGGGTTTCAGCATGTGGACAATTAGCTTGTGGGGCTGGGATACCAAGGAAGTGGGAAGTTCCCCATCATTCCCCATTTGCGGTGGTGCTGGAGGAGGCAGCATGGTGGTACAGCACAGAACGGATACGGTCTGGCAGGGCTAGTTAGTTCCATCACATCAATGGCTATTCTTTAATCTTTAATCATCATGCATGCAGCTACCTACAGTAGTACATATTTTGACTTTATACCATTAAAATTATTAGTGTAAAGTTAAATCTCTTTCTATTCTGAAAGATGGAGGAACTGGGCATTTTACTGACATCTGACATCTCTTTGAGGTTGGTATCTGAAAGGAGGTTGTAGGCAGGTCAGGGTTGGCCTCTTCTCCCAGGCAACAAGAGGATAAAGCCTTAAGCTGCACCAAGGGAGGTTTAGATTGGACAGAAAGGGTGATTAGACATTACAATGGACTGCTCAGGGAGGTGGTGGAGTCACTGTCCCTGGAGGTGTTTAAGGGAAGACTGGACATGGCACTTAATGCCATGGACTGGTCAGACATGGCACTGTTCGGTCACAGGCTGGGCCTGATGATCTCAGAGTGTCTTTTCCAACCTAATCGATTCTGTGGTTCTGTACAGCTTTCTCTGCACCCACACCAGTGTACAGCAGCAGGGCAAAGGGAACAGTAAGAACATGTTGTCTTCCCAAGTTTCAAACGGGAGTAGGTTCCCAAAGCCCAGATGAACAGCAAGGCCAGTGTAACAGGCCAGCACTCTGCAGTGGCTCTGGGTGACACATGTCCTGACACCCTGGCAAAGGTTTAAGTTGCTGGACGGGGGTGGACACGAGCAGAGCTCATCAGAGGGAGATCTGACATCTCCCAGACGGGCAGTGCGGCGCTGACAGCGCCGTGTGTGAGCCGCGGGCAGCCGGGGAGGGCAGGGCGAGGCGAGGGAGCGTGGCGGGCGGAGGCGCACGGAGCGGTCACTCACCGATCGTGGCCAAGTAGGAGGTGGCGGCAGTGCCGGCGGGCGGCGAGCCGGGCTCCGTGTACCGCCGCACGATGGAGGTCTTCCCCACGCAGGACTCTCCGGCCATCACGATTTTCACCAGCAGCGGCGGCGGCTCCTCCGCACCGCCCGGCCCCTTCCCCGGCCCCGCCATGGCGGGCGCCGAGTGCCGGCCGGGCCGGGCCGGGCCTGGCGGGGGACGGGACGGGGCGGGACGGGACGGGGCGGGAGAGGGTAGGGAAGCTCCTCAGGCTGCGGCTCGGCCACTGCCCCGAACCAGGGTTATGAAATTATGCAAAAACGAGCTGCTTGCCTTTTTTTTTTTTTTTTTAAATGAAGTTCCGTCACCGGGGAGGAAAGAGGGAACTTTCACAACGCCCATGACGCTTCCCCCGTGAAGTACAGAAATCAACAGTCTGGTTTCGCATTGCTTCCCAGCGCTAAAGACAGAGATAGAGGAAATAGGTGTTAAGAATTTCCTCTTTTTCGCTTTCAGTTTGTTCTCATCTGACAGTCAAAGTGACCCGTAACTTCCAAAAAACCCAAAATATAAAAAAATCTGTACCCACAGAGTAGACTTGCTGCATATATGTCTGGATGTTTTTACCAGAATCCCACATTGTCCAAATTATAAGGCGCTTGGCCATTTGTCAGTGTGCACATAGAACTCATCCAGTGCCATAAATTTAGGAATGGGATATATTTGAATGAAAAGTGCTAATATACGTTTGTGTCTATTTAGGCCTGCAGTGACTCACCATGGGGTTTTATATTGTCATCTTCGACCCTTCAAGTAACTCCTTGATCTGTTCGTGTATCACAGAGCAGTAGATCATGGAATCATAGAATCACAGAATCAGCTGGGTTGGAAAGGACCTCTGAGATCATCAAGTCCAACCCTTGATCCATTGTCACCATGGTTACTAGAACATGGCACTAAGTGCCACATCCCATCTTATCTTAAAAACCTCCAGGGACAGAGAATCCATTTCCCTGGGCAGCCCATTCCAAAGCCAGATATGACATACTCATTTTTTGTGGAGGACAATTTGTGACTCAGTGAGCTCCACCTAGCAGAATTCAGGATCATATAATCATAGAATCCTCATGGTTGGAGGAGATCTTTAAGACCAAATCTAACTCTCAATCCAGCACTACCACTGCAACCCCTAAACCATATCACCCAGTGCCAGATCCAGATGCCTCTTGAATTCCTCCAGGGACGGTGACTCCATCAATGTTCTCCTATCAAAGACCAACTATTATTTCAGGCCTGTCGTCCCTTCACCCTCACACCAGCCTGCACCTTCCAGTATCAGACTGGGTAGCCACAAACCTTCGGGACTTTTTGGTAGAAAGTCTTCAAAGGGTGTCAGCAACCTGTTTCTCAATCACTGCTGGAAGAATGAGAATTTCTGCTACAATCAGGAGGAAATGACAGATAAAATCAACTACTGAGTTAGCTGGGCTTTTAAGGAGTGACCTCTGAGAAGTGACTGCGTGAAGAACCAATATTAGCAAAGGAGGCATCAGTCAAAGTGTTTCCATTAGGAACAGAGTAAGATTTTGTACCAGCTGTACACTCTTGAGTGACTGCTGGTGGAAGAAGTTGAGCCCACAGTATGCTTTCAGCTGACACATCACATTATGAAGGCATTTGGGGAACCTGACCTGTACAACAAAGTTACAGTCATGTGGCTTGTGTATTTGGACAAAGCAAAGGCTAGGAGGAAATATGATTACTCTCTGCAAAGGATTAAGTTATAAGGTGTTTAAAAAAGCTTCTTAAACAAAAGGATAACAGAGTGAATAGATATACATTGATTGTCAATATGGCCAAGCTAAAATTTGTGAGGTTTCTAATGATATTTCAGAAAATTCTTGCAATTGAAGTAATTGGGAGAGAATTCTTAATAAAGGCAGAAGAAGATGAATGTGTTAGGGTGGCTGCATTAGGGAAGGACTGGACTTCATAAAACACAACACTTCCTATGAGTAACATCCCCTGCTATATCAGCAGCCCCATGAAGTTCTCAGAAGCCCCACAAAGTTCTGCTTCCCTGTGCCCTTGATTATCCCAGACCTGAGGGATGACGGGGTGCTGGCATCTTCTGGTAGTTCGCATCAGTCAGAGGTGACAATGTGTGTGGCGAATCTGTAGCGCTGACAGATAATCTAACACCTGCAGGCACAGGCGAGGGTCTTCAACCAGCTGTGCACCAATCCTGTTCCAGTCCCTCTGTCAGTGCAACTCAGAAGCGAGGACAATGGTGCTTTGCCCTGTAGATGGATGCTGTAGCACAGGTTTGACAGATGTGCACATGTGGGTAGCGCACTGGTTTATATATATACCATAAGGCTTTGTCTTTATTGTGGATCCTTTTCCCATTGTCTGCACAAGCTGTTCTTCTCAAAATAGCTTTCCTAAATGCAGGCCGCACTGCAGCTACCTGCAGCAGTTAGATTTAGGTGTTAGCCTGGAATGATAGTGTTAACAAGGATGCTACGTTAGCTCAGTCTTTACCCTCTGCTGTTTGTCAGGCCAAGCAATTTAAATTAAAAGTCTCTTTGTAGCATTTTGTACATTTGAGTGTTGATTTATGAGCAATGTGCCAGGCAGGATTCTAGCCAATTTCTTAATGAAGGCTCCAAATGCCCAGGGTTACCGCTGCTATCAGTGAGTTACAGTATCACTTTTCCTCATATTCCTATCCACAAGGGGACAGTCTTTCCATCTCTTACCACTAACTAAAACCATTTAAAAGTTAGCTCTTTGAAAAGCTGCCATTCAATGAACTATTGTTTTTTAAATACGTGTTTCATGCTTTAGAAAAGGTTCCAGATCTTTGTAAACTATATGATGTTACTGTACTTATAGAGCTGATCGTAAATAAAGTTAGTTTAATGAAGCTAATGACTTGAAAAGAATGACTGCAGCTACAAGGCAATCAATGCAAAACACAAAACAAAGTTGCCATGATATTTATTGAGACATCCTTGGAAAAGGATGTATTTGCTTCTCATGCAGCTTTTTTGATTGTTCCCTACCATTTCTTTGACTCTATCTTTCCAAAAACATTATTATTATTATTATTAATAGTAATAATAATGAGATAATTTTTAATAGCATTTTAGTGGGACACCTTTTCATTTTCACATGGAAAAATTACTAGATTTATTATAATTTAATTTTATATAATGCTATAAAACATAACATGTATTTTTATTTAATATTTGTAAATTGTTATGATTACCCTCGTAGATACTATTCTTACATTTTTGCTTATCTGAAATGTTCAGTTTAGACATAATTGCTCAGTTTACTCTGAGGACAGAAGTAGTTTGGGCAAAGAAGATAATGCTATATTTTTAAATTCTCAAAAGGTTCACACCTCCTACTTTGCATTAGTGTGGCATATTACCCCAATCTCTTCTGAAGAGTTTGATACAGCAGCTGATTTTTCATATAGCCAAACCCCTACAAAAGTGAGCCAACTCCTCATCACAGTTACAGAAACTACTGTAAATTGCTCTGAATGCAAGAAGGAACCAGAGATTCTTCAGCAAAATATTTCATGCAAAACAGTCAGCATAATCTTGTCACTAAGCCTGCTTTGCACATTCTTGCAAGCAACCATTATTTAAAAACAAAAAAAAAGTTAAGGAGAAGAACATAAATATAAACCAAGGATGAAGAAACATGTTTCTCAAACATAATGGCACTGTTACAGGTGCCACAACTTAATAAGTAAAGCTTCCTCCTTAATGAAATAAAGCTTTCAAAATATTGCAAAATGGTTCAGTGTATTTCCATTTGAAATTTTTTTGATGGAATATTAGAATACTGACGCAATTACAAATATTAGCAGCGTATTCATGAAACTTTTCCTGAGCTGAAGGTATAAGCTAAAAATGACAATAAGAAGAAAGAGCAGGGCTTAGTTTGGATTTAAAATCCTCAGTACTAAGTCACTGCTCGTGCTAAGATTACTCACTGAATAGATTCTCTTAAGTGACCAAAGTGAAACTCTTTGCTTTCATTTCCGTTAAGATAAAACCACTTCTGAGTGGACAAAATTGAGGTAAATTACTCATGATAGGCAAAACAGGGTTCACTAATCCTTAAATGAAATTTCTGGGCCAACTAAAAAGTATTTCAGTTATTTAAGAGACAGGACTCTCTATTAAACTGGAATATAATTTTTAAGATTTCATCAGAGAACAGGACATTTCTCTGGGTCAGATTGACTGAAATGAGGGGTCACTGATGAAAACTCTGTTGAAAAGTGTCCCTTCTAACCCAAACCATTCTATGGTTCTGTGATTAACTCTTACACCAGATGCACTACCGCTGTCACTGATGATCTCTACCTTGGCCAGCTGCAGGTCCATTTTGGAGCCAGGTGGCATTGATTCTGTTGGACATGGGAGAAACTTTTAGCAGCTTCTTACAGAAGCCTCACATTTAGCCTCCCACCTTCCAAAACCTGGCCATGCAAAACCAATACAGAAAATATCTTGGTAAGCAGCACCCCTGCCCTCATTTCCTGTTTGCTTCTCATTTGAGGCACAGGAATCTATGTTATTTGGAAAAAACTTGGGAAGCATCCTAAATCACAAATAGAACCCTGTAATAGGAAGAGAGGGTGAAGAGATACGTTATCATCAAGATATCAAGTCTAGGAGGAAGACATTAAGTACATGTGCTTATTCTGATTTTTCTTAGCACCTGGAATGTCAGGGGCAGTGTGAGTGGAGGGAGATGATTGATCTCTAAATCAGGGGGATGGAGAGGAGAAAATTAGAGCAAATGTACAGATGAAGGACTGAATTCATCCTCTCAGGGGCTTGTAGGTACAATTTATGGGAATGATTTCTACAGGAGTTTTAGAAGATCAAAATGGAGTATGTGGCCAGTCGAGGTCACAAACTAAAGGCCAAGCAGCCGTGACAGTCAGCTTTGAAGGCAAGCTTCTGCGTACTCTTCCAATTACTTTTTTACACAATAATGGAAACAAATAGGAAACCGTGCAAGCAGACTGCTTATAGATGAGCCTGAGAACACATAGGGTACATCTGTATCACCTTTAGTAGAAATAGTCATGTTTCAGTTCAAGTTCACCAAGCAAAGCTGCTGAAGGGGTAAACCAGGGAAGATGCTCTGTCTACCCTGTAGGCATTA